AAACTAATATAAACCAACTATAAACGAATCAAAAATTAGCAAAACAGCGTGAACTCTCATGGAAATGATTTTCTGACGACGGTATCAAGCCTTGGCTCTGCTTCAGAAACCAGCGATCGGGAAAACTAAAACTCACCCGATCGGGAACATCACACTGCTTTCGTTCACATGCTTCTCCAGCACTAGATGAGGAAAGCGTTGACGGAACAGTTGCACTGATGGGTGATCAGTATGCTTAGCGACTAGGTCAAGAAGATGCCCGTATACACTCGAAGGATATCGTACAGCAGTAGCTAAAGCAGCATCACCAAACAGCCTGGAAATAGATCAAAACTAGTTATGTAAAAGTATAAAGCAACTTTGTAAGAAAAGCACCTTTCATTATTTCGAATCGACAAAACGTTAGGGGTCTTCCTATGAGATTCCTTGTTGAGCACTATCTCCATCGGAACACCAGGTTTAATCAGCCCGACCTGCAGAAAATTTGAAGTAAATTTGTTATCACCATTTTGGGGTGAAGAAATATGCGAGACTGCATTTTTCGTGTTTCTCCAAAATAACACTCAAACCAAGTCGACCAATCACAAAAAAAACGCTCACCTTTAAGAACTGGCTCCCGAAGTCGATCGATATCGCTCCAAACGCACCATCTATAATCACAGATCAAAGGGAACTAGTAACAGCAAACCAACTCCCATAAGAACTGTAGCTCACCTGTTGGTGCAATCAGAGCCAGTAATACTGCTACGAAGGCCGTCCTCCATCGAACGTCCGTAGTCATTTTACCCGATACCTGAGGAAATTGAAGAATGAAACAAAATAGAGGTAAGAACCAAGAAATTGGAAGCAGACGAATATATGCGAATTTCGAAGCCAAGAACAAGAAGAGGTCACTTTCAGAGGGAAATGGGGTGGAGGGGAGAGAAGTGGGTGGTTGAATGGCGAAAGTTGTGCTGTAACAATCCTGATGGTTTTTAAAAATTGATGAGGTAAAGGAATTCATCCATAATTCATCCAATTTGCAGACGTGGACACGTTGCGACAAAGGTACTTGGGACAGGGGGGAGGGGTAGGCTGGGCGCTGCCCTCTCTGGCCAGCTAGCAAAAGAAGCCCGTTGAAAAGGAAGTAGGCGCATCCACTGCTCCCGCATGCCCCGACAATCACATAATGGACCGGCACAGCCGCACGGGTACAATTACCCACTCCCTCCCCACTCATCTTAGACCTTTCGGTAGGTCATTCTTTGCACAACAAGCCATAAGTTAAAAAGTGCAAAAAAAAAAAAAAACTATGAGAAAATCCATATGAGCATGCCAAAAAATGCAATAAAAATTCTAAAACGAGCCAGGAACACAAGAAGCAAGGTAATCTGGCGCTGCTCACAAACATGGTTAAACATGTTTACTTGATCAAAACATTTTATTTTCGCTAGCACAAAGTATGACAACTCTTGGAAATGAAAGGAAAGCCAAGTTTTCTCTCAAGCAATTAACAAGTAACAAGCATAACACTGCAGCTGAACTCGGTGGTGACGTCTTATTGAGGGGAAAACTCCACAGGTCTCTTTGACCCTTTTCCCAACCAACTTAGGTTTAGAGCACAAAAATTCGGAGCTGCCACGGGCTATTCTCGCAAGGCAAACTCATTGACTATGCGGCAAGCCTTGATCATGGTAAAGGACACAGAAGGAAAGTGAAGTGCTCCCTACCTCCCAGATACGTCACCGTCCTGAATTCTTTCCTAACGAATACCACTCAGTTGGTCTCTAACTCATCACATTCTGAAAGGCAGGTAGATACATCCCATATCGCAGAGATGGGGAGGGCGTGGCTGCTATTTCGTTTGAATATATCGAAGGATACGCTTCTCGCGATGCATCACTTGAGACAACTGTTGCCCTGTCTTCTCTTCACCAAAAACATGATGACAAATGTCCTATTACGGCATTATCCAATGAGAACAAAACTTCAACTGCCACGTTCGAATGCGAAACGCAGCCACGCCCTCGCCATCTCTGGGAAACGGAGTGTAATTCAAGAGGCGGAGTACTTTCTCAATTGGCGCCGCAGCAAACGAAACCAGGGACGGAAGTGCAGTAAGTTCCTTCAAAAAAACCAGTCCGCCTGCTTGTGCCCACCTTTTGGAGAGCACTGTTTCGGCAACAGACAGCGAGCCTTTTGGAGAGCACTGTTTCGGCAACAGACAGCGAGTTTGAAGTGCGTCAAACAGCTGAATAGCTAAGAGATTCTATAACTTCTTAATGAAGAAGGAAAAAAGGGAGACTAGACAAAACAATAAAGAAAAACCTATTGATTCAAGATATGTCATGCTGCTAGTCGCGCAGAAAACCAGCCCCACACTGAGGCAGGAATTTAAACCGAAGCCACTACGGGGGGAGGGGGGAGGGGGGAATAGATTCTTCTATGGGCCACTTCTATCTAGCAACCATATGTCATGCATGGAGTAGCAAACATTGGAAAATATCATCCTTAATCTCACGAAATTGCGAAAGAAAAAGCAATATGACCACAGAAAAAAAATCCTAAGCTCCTATTAAATTGCAACTGAGCAGCCGGGCTTGGGGAAACTGTAAAACTTCACTGTAGAACATAGAAGAAGCAACGAGGATATTTACATCAACAACAACATCTTTGTAGATATCTGGTTCGACAAGGAAGTTCTGTCATTTCAAATGATACACTGTACAAAAATCTATGGCTACTAGTTTTCGGCGTTTTGTGATCATCGCTACAGTACGCCAATGAGAGCGGAATTCAGTTCCGCTTTTCAAGATCGTTCAGATCGTTCAGCTTATTTATGAGCTGTCCACCAAATCTTTCCCTGTACAAGGGAGAAATCGAATCAAGTAGCTGACCAAGCGACTCGAAATATTGCGTGTGCATATGAAGCTGACGGAAATCACCATTCATACAGTCCGCACGATTGCTAGCAATCCGCCAACCTTTTCCTGAAAAACAGCTTAAGAATGGAAAAACTCTGGAGCGAATGTTAGGACGAACAAAGAAAAAGGAAAAAAATAGAGGGGTTGAGGTGGCGTCCAAGCTTTGCAACTTGGGATAATGGGAGAATACGTTGCAAAGAAATTTAAAGGGAGTGGACATGGCTGCTGGGGCGGGCGGTCGTGGCCGACGTCATTGGTGGAAGGCCTGAGTGGGATGTGGCCAAACGCCCTCTCGCAGCCCCTCCACCAATGACGCTGGCAACAACCGCTCGTCTCCAGCAGCCGTGCCTACTGCCTTTATGTACCGATCAGGCGAACTAGTAAGAACAGAATAATCGTTCGATTTCATCAAGGTAGAACAACGTTGAGAGAACATCAAGGAGGGTCGTATTTGGTCGATACAGAGATTTCTTTGTGCCGCGGGAGAAACATACGGTTGCTGACACCCTCACTTAGCCCAGTTTTCGGGATTTGGATAACAAATGTAGCGAGCTCCCCCTCTCCCATCCCCGACTGATGGGCGTTTAGGTGGGAAAAGTGAAAACATTCTGGAAAACAGGGAAGAGGCAGTAAGAAGTTAGAAACAGTGAGGAAGATGGCAGGTAGCATAAAAGGGACACTTGGGGGAGGGGAGGGGGTGACACCGCCACTGCTCTTATCCAGATGCTGTATCCTGATTCCCATCTGCTCCTTTGGCGTGAATTTCTTATTCTCATAATTCTCCGAGACGTAAAGAATGAACGCGGCCATAGGTAGTGCTGGAGGGAGGTCGAGAGCCAGCAAGGCTATCTGTCATACTATGTCGCTTCGACTCTGGTTATCTCCGCTCTGTTAAGACCTAGTCTCGGGGAGGCCAGAGACATGGGCGCGCCTTGCCCCTCCTGCGAGTTGCGCTAGCGTCAAAAACTGTAGCAATCGCACTGGCCATCTTTGCGCCCATCTTAGAAGATTGTTTAACTAGCAATGAAACGTACTGCCCATGTTTTGGACAAACGTCTAATAAATCTGGAATATAAATCTAAATCTAACTTTAAGTTACAAGTTCAGGAAAACGAGATAGAGTATGGCTCATGGTAAGCCCTACTGTGTGCGTTCACGGGGCCGGCACATTTGTTTTCACGCGCAGGGTTTTAAGGTACTGTATACCGCCTGCTTCCCTAAACTTATAATCTCGTCACACGTACCTGTCAGTTCAATGCAATACGTAGAGTTCTCGAATGTTGTCAGATTCAGGAAAAGCAACTCATTGGTACGTGGCAGCATCTCCGAAATATATACCGACTGCACAGCATAGGAAAATTCACGGACTGCTGCGATTGCTTCTTCCTCCAACTGTGAACGCATGTCGCAGTCGCACAACCTAGAACCTTATATCTTCCGGAAGATAGCTGTTTTACAGCAAGTTTTAGTTCGTTTCGGGTCAACTGCCCATGTCACCACAGGGATGCCCAACGTGATCCAGTTCTTCAACCAAAATGGGCGCTGTTTCGCTGGGAAAAGCATCTCTATTAGTTTTTTGGCTGGTTATGTTAAATTACACGTCCTTCAACGTACATTCATGCACAGGAAAAAGCAAAACCAGCGAAACCGATTCTTCCCAACCTTCCTCCCCCCCTTCTAAGCCGGACAGCGCCCCCAACCAATCATTGAACTATCACCATTGTTGGAAAAGGAAGGCTCAAACCACTCCTCCTGACCCGACTGACATCAGCTGTTTTTTCCACTGATTTCTCACTATAAACGAACACATCTCAACTATGCGTAAATGAATTTCGAGGTCAAAGTAGTAGATACAAAAAGGAACCAAACAGCTCACCCAGCACTTCCATTCCGTGGAACCGGCGATCGTTGAGTAGTGGGTGTCGTTGGAGGTGTCTTTGACGACGACGTCGTCAACTGTGAATAATTCGATGAATTCGTCATACAGCCTGGAAAAGGAACTTAATTTTGATCTAATCTCAACCTGCAAAAGCTGCGACAAAAGAGCTGGCGCTGTTCGACTTGGTGGGGGGCACTATCTTGTGGAGACTGTAAATTAATGTATCACTCTACTACGAACTGGCCCATTTGTCCATTTCGCCGCTTCCCAAGAGTTTACAGGTGTCAACCTGTTAGTTGTCGTAACAAGTGCAACCAGCAAACTGCATGCCCCCTTAATGCCGAACAGTACCTCCAATTTTCACTGCGAATGAAAACTTCATCATAAAGCATTTGAAAAGAGTAGGCTTTGAACCTTTGAAATGAATAATCGAAAAGGAACACAATTTAGTGACCAAGGATGCCAGCAGAATGCTTTCATTGGCTCCAAACTCAGGTCCCAACCGAAAGAAAACAGGATTACTGTGAGAAAAAGAACTAGGTAGAAAATAGAAGGCAAAAGTAGTTGGAGGGTACCACGCGACAACGCGACTATGCCACGTCATATCTGCTTGTCTGTGTTCCCTCACTGAACTGATGTATATTCAAGGCCTAGAAAAGACGTGGCAAGACCTGACTAGACCACGGGAACGGTCGCGCCACAAGGCACCCACAACTATCTTGGCCCCGAAAACAGATGAAAAAGAAGACGAAAAGATGTGATTTGCGATTAGTGGTCGTGGGAAGTGCTGATGTCAGCACAGCTTGAACCCTACCAATGAAAGATAAGGCGAGGCGTAGATGGGGGCCGTCTGCGTATAAATATTACCGTATGAGTCATGTGTTTCCGCGCGTGCGTATCACTTCAGTGCCAAAAAATCTGCGATATGAAGTACTTTAGGACTACTAAACTCTGAGAACGTTCATGGCAGAAAAAATATGAAGAAGCATGTGATGATGGGACTCAACGGCGCCTAAAGCAAAGTCGTTGGCAGTCCAAACGAGACTGTATGAGTGACGACCTACATGTCACACCCTAGAGATAAAGAGGGCGTGGCTGCTTCTACTTCTTCTTCTGCTTCCATTCAGACAAGCTGGGATGCGTTTTCTGTGATTCTTTTCCATTTGAGAACAAAGTTTATCCTATCATGTGCTGGACAATAGCTCGTTGAAAAATGCCTCAAAATGAAACTATCCCACTAAAAACGGAGCCGACAGCTCTTTCAATGAAGTACGCAGAAGCAAAATCACGACCATGTTAGACCATACGGCCCAGAATACTTCCAGAGATAAAGGCATCGTGGAGAAACCGCTATGAAAAAGGTACCCACCAGTAAATACTCCAAACCAAAATGCCGTCAAAAATTATGTATGCAACACGTGGAATACACGTGGCATTCACACAACCAACTTGCTGTCCTTGAAAGATTTTTTCGAGTCTCATGGCCAAATCCAGCTCTCTGTAGTGGAACTAAGTGCGCAACTCGTACAATACAGTGTGTAAACTCGAAAGCCTGCTGCCATTATTTTATTAATAAGTAAGAATAGCTAAATGAAGTAAATTTTGCGAGGACTTCACGTGAAAATACCTATGACAGGCCGTGTAATTGCGTACTTATACCAACTACCGTATGCTCACACCTGATTTTACAGCGAAACCATTTCTTCCGAGTCGACAAGGGGAGAAACTGAGGATAGGAATCAGGGAGCAAGTTTGGAATCTGGCTAAATGAGCTACTTTCTCTCTTTAACTTACTTTAACACTTTATTTTATTTTGGTTCATTTTTTCTTTCCATTTCTTCTCTTAGTTAATATTGCCATGTTTCTCTTACCGCGTTCGCTATCAGTTTACTGACTGTGGCGCGTCCATTGGGCGCAAAATAAATAAACAAATAAATAAAACTTGCGGCCTTCAGGCAGTTGTCGACAACTCTCGTATTTATAAAGCATAATGGGGTGTGTGGGCACGTTGATCACGTTTACTGAAACAGTCTCCAACAGGAACTACGGCGCTAACGCAGCCCCTGGAGCCCTGAACTTGGGTGGGGGACCACATGGACGGTAGCCCTTCTCTAAAAATGCTCAGGCTCAGAGCGCTGACGAATAGAGTCGCGGAGGGATAGTACCGTGGAGACACGGAAAAGACACAGCCTTCGGCGCCTTAGGCTAAGCCACTTACCCTGAACCAGCCTGAGTGGAAGCGGTACGGGGCCTAGCGAGGGTCCTTGACCAAGCCCGCCCCCACACACCTCCTCCGGCAACGCCGACACTATTTCTGGAGTAATTGTGAAAATGCCATGTAGTAAAATTGCCGTCAACGCGCGGTAGAAAGTCAAATATCCCGTATGGAAAAAAGTGTTCAGACAGATTATTTATACACCATTCCTTTTTCTCGATGCTCGGCGCGCGTGAATCACATATTTATTTTTAGGAGTTTTGCAACATGTGAAAAATGGCAAGGGATTATTAAAAGGCAACAACGTACCAAAGGACTCGTCAAACAGCGAAAAACGAAGAGTAAGAAGCGTCGGTTTGGAAGACGTCACCTTCCTGAAACAGGAGGAAGAAGCCGGAAAAGCACCACCTATCCCACTTTCGCGAGTCCAAACTAACTCAATAAAGTAGCCCTCCATGAAGTGGATCCACCTTCATCATTCCGTTTTACCACAGCTGTATAGTTGTGGACTCTCGATCCTTTCTACATTCTCTAGCCAAACCATGGTCAGCTTCCCCTCCCTAGACTCAGTCTCTCTACGTCGCATATAGCGCAAATGGTGATCAGTCTTGAAGGCAGATTCAGTGAACCAACGTAAACTCCTCCCAAGTAATTAATTCAGGTCCACAGCCACTGGGGATTTTTTCGCGGCCTGAAACCCACCGAGAAAGCTCATACAAACGTTCATGAGGCCCAGGCCACATTGTCTAAGTCGTCGAGATGATGGAGGCTAGCGGTCAACTAGCTGAGGAGACGGAAGTGGCAATCTAAAACGAAAGTTTGCTGCGCGGTTCTGCGCTGCAAATCTCGAATGTTTCACTCGGCTGCGTTCATACTTTTCGACTCGAGAGAATCGGCGCTTTCCCGCTAGATGTTTATATAATCCTCTTCGCTAAAAACGAAAATTGTTCCAAGTCATCAAGTAAAGGCGCAACTTTGAGAATAAGTTCAGGCCGCTGCGACAACGAATGAAGCTTTCGTTTACGTACGCCAGAGAGGCTTCAGCGAACCTACAAATGCATCCAGTTTCAAATAGAACTCTACCAAACGGCACAGCGCAAACTCCTCCACGATTAGCACAAATATTTGAAGAAAGGCTGTGAAGGTAGACCTTCAAAACTCGAGAGAAGGCATAGCAATCAACTGGCAAGAAGGAAAGCGAACGAGAACAGCCATTTCACAGCAACTATCTTACACAACGTCGTTATGTTTACGGCGGACTATTCTTAAATCATTTCGGGATGACACAAGCAGAACCAGACTGGCAAAGCCATGATCTCCCATACCTAGCGACGAATACATAGTCCAAATGGTCAAGAGAACAACAAGGTATAATATTGCGATAATAAAGAGGAGAGTTCCGATCACAAACAGAAACCATACGAATGAATAAACCACTTTACATTTTAAAAATGTTAAAGAAACGTCACAGTTGGCATCTTGCCAACAGCACTCATTCTGTGTTCCGTCCGGGACCTGGGTAAACGGCTGTCTTCCTGTCCTTCAAGAAGTGGGTTCAAATTTTTTACCATATTTGTTTAATATTATTCTGATATGATAATTTCTCTTCTCTAAGATATAGATTGTTCCAACAGGGCTTAACCATGAAGAATCTGAAGCATCCACACCTCAAACCCGGTGGGGTAATTCGAAAGAAAAAGAAAAACGCTATGAAAGTTAATCTGTCGGAATCGTCAGTTGGAAAGATCCCGCCAAATGAGGATATATCTGATGAAATTATTCGGAAACCATGTTCAAGTAAGTTGTCATGTTTGAGTGTCAAGGCTGAATTTATCTATTTATTTACTTGATACATCCAAACAATTGACAATGGAGAAGGGTTGTGGAGGATGAAAGAAAATGGGATAGAAAGTATTTCGTGTATTTTTCCATTAAAGGCACACTTTGATTTCATTTCTGTTCAGACTCCTTCTTTGGACAAGTTAGTCCTGTCCAGAAGCACAGAGGATGTATCACTTCTGCAGCTCAAAATACCTGGGGAAATCCCGATCCGCTCGCGAGCGAGGCCCTACCCATTGGCCACGGCCACGCCCACCTTCATTCCAAAGGGTACCCGATGGTGAGGTTGTTCCGGTACCACCTCCCTCTGGTTTCGATAGTGAGAGTGAGGTGATCAATAAGAAGAGTTGATGTCGCTCCGACACCAATACATGTACAACGGTTGCTTCTCAAAGGAGTGTGTGTATTTGTTCTCAACTAAGTTTTACCTAACCAAAGTCGATAAGAGGGTGTGGAAAGGGTAGGATGTAGTAAAAAGGACAGTATATTTTTTACATCATGAATCCTTGGACGTTTTCATTAATATCTGCTTTTTAAGAAGTCGAAAGAAGGAGCATCACTGTCAAAGAAGAAGCCTTCCAAGAGGTCGTTAAGCGCGGATTCAGAGGATTTGTCATCTAAGGCTGAAATCCACAGAGGCTCCGCCAAGTTGAAAAAGAAAAAATCTGAATCTATTCCTCTTATTGGCATCCAAAAATTGACAAAAAAGCAAAAGCAAAAACTGAAGAAGAAAACGGTGATGAAAGGACCGACCGCAGAAACCTCTGTCGACAATGCGGCGGGCTCTATGGGCCAGGCGGAAACCAGTGGAGGTGCTGAAGATGACAGCGACAAGAAGAAAGTGGGTTCTGCTCGTTTTATTCTTTTTGCAGTGTCTCATTATTCTGTAGGTTACTTGAGAGTGTCTTCATACTTTGCATCAATGTTTTGAGCATTTTGAACTGCTAGGACAGTAGGTGTCGATCCATTGTTTTGGGCGTGTGCCACTTTTTAACTGGCTGTAATCAAGCTGTAATCAAGATCTATTTCTTGTTCGTTTGAAATGGTGGCAGACGCTCAGAACATTGCCGCGGAGTATGGCATCTGAAGCAAACGTAGACAGATACAGTGCGTTGGCCACAACCATGAAGATTACTGAGGACTGCTCATCAGGCCTTGATAAAGCTGTGTTCATACTTCGCAGCTCGGCTTTTCGGGAGAAACGTCTCGAGCTATAGGGATAGCATGGGTATTGATCTGCACCGCTCTAGCGTTTTAAGTATCGACATTTTGGGAGAACCAGGGTTTTCAGCGTTCTGGGAGTGTCGACGTCTTGGGCGCCCATCAGTATTTCGCTCAGAACGCTGATTCGCTTAAACGTTGATTCGTGCAAAACGCCGCTCCGACTAAAACGCCGATTCTCCCAAAACGCTGAGTTGCGAAATATGTATGCAGCCTAATTCTATTAACAAAACTTTTGAAGTGTCAAACGGCATTGAACTCTGAATTACTGTGGTTTAATGAAAAGAAAACTTGGAAAAGTAAGCTTGCTCGCAGTTTGGCACGTGGAGTAATGATCTTCATCACATTAGATCTGGGCGTCATAAAATCCTAACCCATCCCCCTTAGTTCTAGGACTAGCTGTATTGTAGAATTTGAATGCATGCATTCTGATGGTACACTTTAATACTGTCCCTTGATTCGATTCACATTCATCAGAGGGGGTCGGACGTGGTCGCTTACTGATATGAAATTTTGATTTCCAATAGAGGTCTGGTCTCCTGGACAAAACGGTAGAGTCATTAATTATGCTAATTTTTCAGATGGGTGAGGGAATCGCAGTGCTAAATTTTCTGGACATTGCATCAAATAAGAAGAAAAAGAAGAAGAAGAAGCATTTAAAACTGGAGACTGCTTCTGAAGTCGATCCAGAAGTGTCAAATGCAACCGAACCTTCTCCAAGTCAAACGAAAGAGCGAGGGTCCCTCGATGCAGGGAGTCCCATGAAAAAGAAAAGCGAAAGAAGAAGTCAGAACACCAGAAAGCCGCTGCAACTGTTGAAGTCTCTGAGGATATCGAGAAAGAAGACACGATCATTCCCAAGAAGAAGAAAAAGAAGGTTCTCGATCACTCCTCCAGTAAGGCAGAATCCTACTGAGGGTGAGGCTACTGATCTTGTTTTACACTATCGCCTTTCAATTTCAAATTTTCAGGGTCACATAATAAGTCCACCCCTTGTTGTGTTCAAGATATTGAGAAATTCAAAGATATCCTTGAGAAGCTTGCTGATATTCTTGACACTCAGGAGGTGATCTTACTTTAAACGTTGATTGTTTTGTAACTCAGGCATGTGTTCAGCCTATTACGTAGTAGGACTTTCGAGGTGGCTTTTGCAGAGCTGGAACGGGGACGCGAAATTTCTTTGCGGAAGGGAACCATTCGCCTTCGTTAGCAGCTCAAGTACATCATCGTGGCCATTTCAAGAATCTCAGCAGTTGTCAGAGATCCTTTGCATGTCACATTCGAGACTTGCTCCGTTGGCTCTGGGGGAAAGCTTCCAGGATGAGAACACTTTGGGCTATTTCCCGTTCAGTCACATGTGTAATCTTGTCACCTTGTAAACTTTTGTCAATTTTGAAAGTCGCTCCTGTATTGCATAGCTTAAAGGAATCGAGGTCCTCTTGTTTTTAGGAGACATCAGCATGATCGTTAAATGGCAAAATGCCCGAGTCGAACTGCGCCGAAACGAGTGCTGTCGCCTAGACTTCCTCATAAAATCAAAATGAATATTTTCATTAGGCTCACGACCCTCTACGTAGATCCAGAATTAATGATTGGACTCAGTCATGTTCAGGCTCGAAAATTAATCAATGAAGAAGTGAGCGCTGGACGAATCGAACAAGGTGAATTTCATGACGGTCTTGCAGAAATGGCGTCAACAGAAGCGAAAGAAGGTCATTTCATTTCTTGTTTCCCACCTTCTTTCCGAGATATATTTCATTTTATTTTACTCCACATGTTTGTGCCTTGACTTTCGATATTTTTAGATCCAAACTGCGCAAAGAGAGAAGGTAGTGGGAATGGAAGGAACACTTGACGACGTTAAGGTACGTAAATTTTTGTCGCAATCCTTACTTCCTCGGAATTTCGAGAAGCACTACTTTTATGGATGTCATTTTTGTACTGTGAATAAATTAGAATACTCTAATTTTTGGCCAGTGCTGACAATTCATTCCGTTGTTGCGCACGCTTCAACTGAATCAATGAAATGCACGCTAACGTAGTTGAAGGGAGCTACGCTTTGAAATGAGAGGCTATTGCTATTGACCCTGGTCATCAGTGCTCTTCCTCTC